GGCCCACGGGAACACCCGTACCCAAGGACACCGCTAATTCTGCGTATAAATTATCATTTCATAATTTCACATCATGGACATGCCCCACAATCTTCACTTGAAATACTTAGAGTTTCTTCTTCTTCTTTTTTTTTTTTTTTTTTATTTCACATCATGGACATGCCCCACAATCTTCACTTGAAATACTTAGAGTTTCTTCTTCTTCTTTTTTTTTTTTTTTTTTTCTCTCCCCACTTTTTTTTTTTCATTGTATGGTAATTTCTGTATAAACTGGCAAAATAGATAATGCAAAATGCATTAAGTAAATACATAGGACAATATTTCCTCCTCCTTTTTTCCCTGATTGTTAATTATTTAAGATGTAATTCTAGCCCATAACATCAAAAAATTTCTAATGGTCTTTTTCTCTGTCAATTTAATATTCTGCAGAAGTAATTAAAATTAGATAAAGAAGTGGTTATTGAAAATACACTCTGGCATGAAAACGCTGAAGAAGCATAAAGAGAAACCAAAGTTATCTGATCACTGTCCATTTGAGGGGGAAAATCACAACTGCATTTTCACAGTGTTTGTCCCCGGGAACAGAGATCRAGCCTTTTCTGTGCAAGAATGTGCTTGGCAGCTAGGTACTCCGGGCATACTCTGGGATTGAATAGGTGGTAGAATAATGTGCACTCCTGGCTTGGCTGTGCTTTATTCAACGCACAGGGATTAACCCTGTCTAGGGTTCCACGTTTATGTGGTTCTTTCATTACTTTTTGACATTTTTGGCAAAACCATGTGTCTTGCCTTGCATTTCCAGGGTGGGAAATGTGTGGGTTTCCTATATGAGTTGGATGTGTGGGTCGGGAGCATCCCCCTGCCCTGCGATGGGTGCCGTAGCCCTGCACCTCCCCATGCTCCTGCTTGGCAGCAGTGCCCACCAACCGTCCTGGGCCTGGGCTCCCCGGGGACTTCACGTCTGTCTTCTTCATAACCCACTGCSCTCGAGTCCGTTCTGGCTCTCCTATCAGTCAGCTTGGAGATCTGCTTAAAAATAAAACCCAGGTTTGCTTCCAGTGTTTGAATTGCAAGAYTGGTAGATGCCTCCCGAACAGGACAAGGTCATTACAGAGCCGGCTTCTACTCTCCTCCGGGTGCAAGAGGGAGGAATCTGGTGATACTGCAACACAGTGTGTCAAGTGGGAGCGGGGTTTGGCCTCATAAAACTAGTGGGTTTTAAGACAGAAGCTGTAGCTGTATGGTTTGGGTATTTGGTTGAGCAGTAAGGGGGAGAAGGGTAACTTAATGTATATTATTTCTTCTAATAGCACATTGAACCTTCCATAAAGAAATGCTGCCTTGTTTTAAAAGAACTTAATGGCACTTTGGAACTGAAATATTTTCCAGATAAACATAACTAAAATATTCAACTAATGACGAATTTTGCTGCCTAACAGACACATTGATGTCAAAGAAGAATTATTAGGCGCATTTGCAGGTAATGATTAGTAGCAGGAAAGATCCTTTCAGTGTCCACGTAAATTATGTATCCTATTGAATACATTATTTCCTAAAAAATGGAGAAGATATTTTACTGTTTGTCCAGTGTCTTTTGATCTGGTTCTGACGAACCCTTTCACTTATCAAAATCCTCACAATATATGAACAGTAGAGATATTAATATGGAAGGCCTCTTTTGATGTTTATTGGCATATAGTAATTTATAATGCAGATGTGTGTATATTTGAAGTGATAAAAGAGTAGACCTGTATTGATCTAATAAGCACCCAGATATATACGTTTTTAATCTAATATAGTTAGAAATTACTGAAATTATTCCTGTTGTGCTGACAGTAATGAGGAAAATGCTCTGAACATGGCAGCAACGTCTTGTAATTCATAAAAGTTGCTGAGACCTTGAAACTGGGTATTTGTGCTACATTCATGTCCCTGTTCCGCTGATCTGTGCTGCGCTAGTTCTTTAAGGGGTGGTTCCCGAATATTCGGATAGGTGCTGACCCCAGAGCCGGCCTCTTGTGTTTTCAGTGTAGACTAACCACATTACACAACATAAAATTGAGTGGAGCTGCGTATGAAGTTAAAACACAGAGAGGTATCAGTTATTGCGTTATAGAGAGCACGTGATAACCATTGCCGTTACTTCAGCTTCCCAGGATTTTTGCTGCGTTTGATGTTTTGGCAGAGCCGTGGCCGCTCTGGCCGCCCCAGGCCGCGCGCCTGAGGTGAGGCCGAGCTAAGGGCTCCGCGCGAGAGGCGCTTCGCTTCGTGAGGACAGAGCGGCTGCCCTTGTGCCGTGTCCGCCCCTGGGGGCCACGCGGCTGCCTGATCCCCCACTCCGCCCTAGTCCTCGGCCGTGAAGCACCCCCAGGCCCCTTCCCAGCCCTCCCCAAATCCGGGGACGGGCGCTCTTCCCTCACTCGCTGCTCCAGGGATGGACGCTCTGCTCTCACTGCTCTCAACTTTGCCTGGGTTGTGTTAAATCCCTCGCCTTTGTGGTGCGGATCATGGAGGATGCTGCTTTGTAAACACTGCTGCACCTTTGTAGTGCTGCCCCTAGTCTGAATTCGGTTATTTTCTGCTCTGTGAAGTTTTCTTCTACAGACCTCGAGGTGCGTTTCTGCATTATATTTAAGTTCATTTCTTATTTAATGAAAGGTAAAGAATCATAAATGTAAAAATGAACTTGCTTGTATTCTTGCAGGAAATCAGTGATTGTGAATGCAGCTCACTTCACCTCTTGCTTTACTTATTACCTGTTGTAAAATTTTAGCTGACTGAATCTGACTTTCTAGTGCTATCCACACTGAATGTGTAGTATTGGGGATTTATCAAGTTTTAGAAAGTAATGTCAATTTTTTGAGAAACCTGAAAACTGTTCTTTGCAAGCTGTTCTTATATGCTTTTCCTAGAATAAGGACATGACCTACTGTATGCCTGTTCATAAATAAGGGTCATCCTGATCTCTTTTCTTCTTCCTCTTCTGCTTAAATAAATGAATAATATTTGAAATTGATACAAGAATGCTTTTTTGGAAGATAACTAATCAATTAAGCCATGTTACACCTTTAACATTGTTAAACATTCCTGTTTTTCTTCTCCTGTTCGTGTTCTGAATACAGAAGATACCTAGGCAAAGGAAGGAAGTATTACATAAAAAGCAAAAATAATAGTTCCTGCTGTGACTTTGTTTGCTTGTTTCTTTTTAGAAGAGCTTAGTCTGAAAATTATTATTATTTTTTTAATWCTCAGTTTGAACATTTGGGATTTCAGAAAAAGTATTTCTTGCATAAAGGCATTAAGTGCTTGTCTCCCCTCCATCACTCAAATGGGACTTCAGGRGCTGATGGATCCAGTGAAATTTCCACTGCTTTTACATGGGTGCAGTTGCATGCAGATAATGTCAAACTAGCTTTTAGAACAAAGCCAAATAATTATATTTGAATAAATGTTGCACTATGAATCTAAGTAATTTTAGATAATGAATTATTATTATTTAAATAAGAAAGCTTACAGGTAGAATGCGTGTGGTTGCAAGTGACTGGTACTTATGGGGTAAGGAGATGCAGTAAAATTTTCTTTTGAAGTCCTCCCTCATAAGCTAAGCCATGAGCCAAAGTAATCTAAGGTACATTAAAATGCTGCTTTTTTACCACAAAACATAGTTTTGGCAATACAAATATGAATGAATTATTTAGTATTTGAGATGGAAAATAGCCTTTTCATTCTTGTTTAAAAAAAAMMAAAACAAAAAAATTGCTTATTTTGCCTAAGAACTTCAGAAGTGTTTTGCAAATCTCCATTTTCCATATCTTCAGTCAAACGAGCTCCTGTAATCAAAGATCTCGTTTCCCTTTTGTTTTTAGAAGCCCATACTTACGTAGAATTAATCTTTTAATTACACCGGTAGCTAGTAGCACGCTGAGGAGTTTGTACAGCCGGTCCAGTGAAATCACTCTCTGCACTTGATGCTGAAGCTACAGCCCTCTGTCCCCAGCTAGTAACCACCTCGGTGCCTGTAGCCACAGCGGTGGAACAGAGATGGTTGTCCCAGGAATAACGAAGCAGCTAACAGTCGTTCTGGTTGGCTTGTGGCCGTGTAGCTCTGTGAGCAGAACCAAACAGCAGTGAAGGGAGAATTCCAAATATTGCAAATAGAAGATTTTTTTTGCCCGTTATTTCGTTATTCTCCCTACTGTGGCCCTCGACAGCTGCAAGGATATGCAGAGAGGTAAAGAAGAAAAAATATCTGTATCGAAGGTGCCCGTGTYGTGCTGCAGCTCCAGCTGCCGAGCCCCTTCGGTGCTAAAACCTCCACATTTGCAGGGGGTGGCTTGGGTGGTTTCTTTGCTCTTTAATATCAAGGCCAATAACTTTTTGCTCTCTGGGGTTTTTGCCTTCATATAGTATGTTTTCCTTCCTCTTCTCCCCACTCCCCGACCCAAAGCTCCCCATGGAAAAAGAACAGCTCTGTAATCGTTCAGGATTGTTTGTTCTTTACGCAGAAGCTGGGGCTGAGCCTGTACTGCCCTTCCTAAGGACGCTTTTGAAAACAGACTGTCTTTTTGTTTTCTCATTTACTTACTCAAAGGTGCTGCTCAGCCCCTGGAACAATATGATTATTACAGCTTCCCCCATCAAAATTAATCAGTTCTAAACAGTTAATTGAAACATGTAGCATAACTGGCTTTCCGAATGTATGTATGATAATCACATGCTGGCGAAATCAAAAATCACTAGGCTGTCTAAATGTGAAGTTAAAGCGTGTCCAAGCTGTCGCTGCACAGAATTTGGGATATTTCTATCAAGCCAATTTATGAATTCCATTTTAAAATGCCTTGTCAGGTGAAACATTGAATTTGTGCACTAGAAAACGTAATATTTCTGGAGTTAAATTCTCATCTAAAAATTCTTTTACATTTACAGAGAAACTGAGTCATAAAAATATTTTTAAAAGTTTGCACTTCTTTAAGGCTATTTATTCTCTAAAAAAAGAGGACTTGAATATTTTTGACAAATATACACATGGTGTTACGCTAACAAACGGCCATGCAACATTTATCTTACATAATGAAGAGATTGAATATGCAAGACCTACTCTATTTAACATATATGTTGAAAATTTACAGTCTAGCCAATAGTGCTTTTTTAAAAAAGTTTTTTTTTTCCCTTATTTGGCAGTATTTTTCTACAGTTTATTCAAATATTCCTCTCGGTGTGTTTTGGTGGATACTGGAGTCTAGTCAGTGACAACCTGAGGTACTAAACATTTCTGCCTTACTTCGTTGTCTTCAAAAGAGATCTTTTTGTTCCTCTTAGGCTCTATCCATGAGTTGTGTATGACAGCGTTATTCGGCAAGGGATCTGCTTCCACTATTGAAACAACTCGCTTTTTCATTTTGCTTTTCAGAACCTTCTGAAATTTTTGCCTTGTGAACGCATAAAGCAGCGGGTGGAATATAGTCGTCCCGTATGCCATGACTAGAAAACATAAGCGCAGCTTTACCAAAAGGTCACTTGGGCCCAAACATAAAATGGTTGTGTTTAAAACAGAGATGGGTGTCCAGCAGAGCAGAAAGGTTGAGATAATCAGGAGGGACATTCGGAAGACTCGCTTTTGGCGCTCCCGGCGCTCCCGGTGCCGTTTCACGGCTCGGCGGAGGGCGATTATTACGGAGACCGAAGTCCTCACGCCAAAGACCACGTTCCGCCCCGCGCCGCCATGCGACACGTCGGTGGCCTCGTGCTGAGTGGTTAAAGAAATAGTTTTTTTCTTCCTAGCTTTTTTCTTTTGGCCCGGTGTAAATCGTGTGCCGATTCTAATGTTAAGAGCCTGGAGTATTTTGGTGTAGGTGATGAGCATCACCACGACAGTGAAGAAAAAGATAGGAATCTGAACGAGCAGGTGGTAGTACATTCCCAGCTCCGTGTGGTATTCGTTGGTACTGACGCACAGCAGGGTCTTGTTTTCCCATGTACTTGCGCTTTGAAGACTGAAAAAATTGACTTCGAGGAAAGGAATCAGGAAGGAGAAAAGCGAGATGATCCAGATGGACGTCATGAGGATCACGGCCCTGCCCATGGTGAGGATGCGGTTGGCGGGTTTGACGGAGATATCGTAGCGGTCCAGGGTGATGGCGAAGACGTTGATGGCCGTGGAGACGCTCGCAAAGGAGACGCAAGCCTCGTGGAAGCAGCAGATCAGAGCCGTGTTGCTCTCCAGCGAAAGCAGGAGGATAACTATAGTTAGAGGAATACATCCCACACAGATTATTACATCAAGTACATGAAGGTTCATTGTAATTATGTTACTGACAGAATTGATTAAGTTGGATTTCATACAGTAAAGTACCAGCACGGTGAGGTTGCTGCCAAGTCCCAGAACGATTTCTAGCATCAAAAATCCAGTGAGAGAAACTTGAAAGCTTAATGGATAGGACAGCGGCCGGTACATGTTGGTGTCGATGTCGTCGATGGCATCTCGAACTGTCATGTTAGATTCGGACTGCATGTTGACTTCCAGAGATGGGGAGAAACACATTCTTTTGTCGCGGTGGTTTTTTCTCCTGAAAGGTGAAATAAAATACGGCACTATTTGACTTTTAACACTCGTTGTTATTTTAGGTAAGGACTGGGGAAGGAGGAGGGAGGAAAAGCATCTATTCTTACCAAGCTCTTAATACACTGTRTGTTTGGAGCCTTAATTGGCACGCGTTCGGAGGTCTAAGGACCTAGAATAAGATCTTTCCGTTTTAAAGGAAAGCAGGAGTTGTTGGAAAAAAAGGAAATGGAAAAAAGCTTCCACTTCTGGAGGCAAGGCTTTATTTATGGTGATGTGGCTTTGACAAAGGGCTCATTTGTTGAATAAACTCCACTGTGCATTGCTTTTGAATCGAGTGTTGAGGGCCATTTTAGGAGAACCTTGTTAAGTATTAACAGATTAGGACTTGAGATGGTTTTAAAAAGGCTCTTGTGAGAAAAGAGAGGGGGGGGGGATGTGGAGCACTGCAGCTTTTGTAGCATCACAAGAACATTTAAATTATTTCATGGCAATTTAACAGGCTTTCTCTCTTGAAGAATTTATAACAGTCTCATGGATTGAGACTWGAAGATCTTTAATTCTGCAGAATTGTGGAGAGCTTGAGGACYTGTATTCATTTTTGTATTAACTATATCTAGGTGCACGAACCCTACAGTGAGGGAAGTTTATGTAATTTTGAATGCAGTCTGWGGTAGGTTTAGGGTAATGGAGCTGATAATAAAACTGCTACCTTTCCTTCTTCCGATTTGAATACTCAATGTCAAGACATTGTTGCCTGTATGAGAAGAAAGATTATTTAATTTTATTTCAGCATAGACTTAGGGAGTAGCTTTAGAAAAAAATACTTTCAGCTGTTCTTTAAATTCTATATCCAACATATCCAACAAATCTCTCAGTGTTTTGTGTTTATGTTGATTATGAGTGAGATTMAAAAGAATAGCATTGATTACATCTAGGTCACCTCTACTTTGTGGCAGTATCTGCTTCGTTCTACACATGGTAAATGTACAGGTTGTAAATGCAGCACCTGCTTAAAATACCCGACACTTGTATTTATATTGTCAGCCAGCACTTGAGCTTTGAAGAGAGGTTATTCAGTTTCATGTTTTCATACTTGAGATGTTTTTAAGTGGGCTGAAATTTAAGAGGGGTTGGATTTGCCATGAAAACAAATTTAAATGCAGAGCTTTGCTCCACTCTGAACACATTAAAAATGCATAGCACTAAGGGGAGCCTTAAAAATCATCCCTTTTTCTTTAATAAAAGCATAAATTAAGCACATTTGGGATACAAATGTGCAAATGGATCTTATCTGCAGTTATGAAAACCTCAACTGCACAGCTCTATTAATCACAAATCTATGATGAAAAGTCTTAGCATTTTTCTTAGTAACAGCCCATTCACATGTGCCTCATATTCCAGTTCACATCTTTTGTATTTATTAGTGTCAGGTGTGACATGAAAGAAGAAATATTTCCAAAGCTTTTGTTTAATTTCTAACTTAGGCAGCCTCTAATGGGTTTATATTAAGGCCCAGGAATACGGTTTCCTCTSTGTACGTTGCCTGAGCTGTCAGGGTTTTTCAGAAACCCTTCCAAATGCATTACTTGGTAAATGGAGTTATTTTGAATGCGGAAAAGCCAGGATGCAATTAAAAGCAGAACAAACTGTTATCTACAAAAACAAACYGTTATCTTAACTCCTACTGTTAAGCTAACTGAAATTGGTGAAAACAAAGTTGCAAAAACCCTCATAAATAGATGAAATGGCTTAAACATCACATCTTTGTTGCCCTGGCTGGATTTCAGGTTAATAAAAGCAGAGATACTGAGGCAAGCAGACAATCTACCCCATCCTTTGCCTTTCTGAACAGCATCTGTTCYGTGTAGGTGTGGATAGGGACCGGGTACATGCAACTTGTGACCTACCTGTCTCTGCGCCTCAAGGGCCTTTCAGATCATGGTCGCAGCTTGTCAGAAATCGGTGCATGGTGACACTGCCACGTATTGGACGTGCATTTTCACCTGGCAGCCGAGGTGCAGCTGGCCTCTATTTCATTCCTTGTAGCTTTATTTTTTCCTTTTTTTTTCTTCCAGCAGGTCAGCAGCAAAACGTTTTGATTAAACATGGGGACTTCTTAACTGCCTGAGAGACTTCTGCAGGGCAGCACATATTCTTTGTGTCTGTCCCGAGTTTCAAGCCAGCAATAAAAATAAGCCTTCTTTTAAGTAATGTTAATGTCTTTTCCCAGTTTCATTTTGTGTGAGTCTATTTTTATTTTCCAGGATTAAAAAAAAAGCAGATCTCTCATCTCTGTGTTTAAAGTGAACGTAGGCATCCTTTAGTTACATTTATGTATTTCTTTCTGTGATACTCCTGCTCATTACTTTTGAGTGATGGCTTAGTCAAAGAAGTTGCTATACATCATAAAATCCAGTTCGTGTGCTCTGAGAAAAAACATGAGTTACCTAATTTGGCTTATTTTCATTAAAGGAGAATACACAACAGATCATAAAACCGAGAGGAAAAAATATCCATTAGTCATTATGGCAAATAAGTTATTTAATGAGTGGTAGAGAAAAAGCTTGATGAAAGCCTTGTTCAGCTTGCTGGTGGAGTATGCGTGTCCTGTTTTGGGGAATTCATGTTTCGTTGTTTSTTCCAACATCAGTAGTTTCCACAATTCTGGTTTTAAAGGATAAATTCCTCTTTAAGAAGCGCTCACCATTTTACACATTGCCACCGCCTTTTCATGCAAATCTGAGCAGGTGTGTTAGTCTTCTGTGAATACTATTCAAGTGGCATGCACTTAAGTGGCCATACAAGTGTGTCCCATGCTTTGTTCCTAATTCCTTTTATGTCCTAAGAATACATTTTAGGGATGCATCCTGAGGCTGGCAGCTCATACAGCTAGAAAGGTACCCGGTGAACTGCATTCTTCATAGTGTCACTTGTGAATCGAATGGGTTGCTGCATGCCCTTGCGAAGGGGAGGGAAAAAAGAAGGTTAAAAGTAGGGCTTATAATTTATACGTTAGATATATATAAAAATATAAGTATGTAATGCACTTACTGCATGGATAAAAGGTATCTAAAATTAGATCTTATAGATTACATAGAAAATCTGTTTGTGTAGTCACTGTTTCCTAATAAAATCAACTCCTTCTGCTGTCACCTTGCTTGCTTTCCGGACAAGTTGCCTTGTCCAAATAGTGCAGGTTACCGAAAGCCCCAGCTGGAAGTAATAATCGCTGGACATCTGTGACTAGAGATAGAAAATAGAGTTTTCTGGCTCTCGGGCAGCTAGGCTTCACGTACAACTGTCCTCTTGTCTCAAATGAGTAATTGGGCAGCGTCTCCCGCTATATGGGAAGCGTGGCTTTATTTAATTTGCACACTCTCAATATYTTCTTCCGTGGAATGAATGTGTTTCAAATCCAGATTTTTAATAAATGGCTTAAATGTATAGCATAATGCAAGAAATATATATATATATATATTTTAAGGGGGGGGCTAGTCTTGAGCAAGTCGGAGATTAGTCATAGTATCCAACCTGGATAAAGCAGTAAGTATGGGATCCTTCCAGCAGTAAGCATAGATCTGTAAGAATAAATCTGTAGTATATTTCTGTAATATATTTACCTGCCAATATTTGGAAATGGTGCTGAGGGGAAAAAATATTCCTGGTTGCATTCTGTATTTCTTTAGACCATATACTATCTTAAATTGCACTGTCTGTTGTGTGGGAAAAAAAACCCAGATTCTTAATATTCTGCAAGACTTTTGTGCAAAATAACATTTTTCTACCACTGTGTTTTTAATTGGGGAAAAAAATAGCAGTTGAATAACATTTGCTGCCCCCGAATACAGCAAGATACTAGTGCTAAATGTGAGCCAAACCTGCTGCCTTCCTTTTTTTCCTCCAAATTCTTTGCTAAACGTCGCTCATTCTGCATACAAGCATAAGGAACAGCTCTTACCTCTGCTAGAGATGTGACACATTCCYGCTGCAGGTGAAGCAGTTCCAGGTCGGAGGGCTTCATTTTGTTCACTTATTAGCAGAGCAGAAGGGGAAGAGGGTGACGAGCGGATCCCCCAAAAAAAGACTTTAATGAAAATCCATGCCCGTCCTGTGCCATTGTTTCAGCATGCCGCTCATGCCCGCACCTGCCTTCGCCCCGCTTTAYGGGCTGCTGCAGTCTCCCGCTCTGGCTCCCGGGGAATCAATAAGCATCTGAAAACACATCATGAAAGTAGCTGAACGCACRGAAGGCTCCTGGTCTCCGGAGAGGCGAGCGCGGCGGCGGCGCTGCCGCTGCTGCTGCTGCTGCTGCGAGGGGCAGCGCGGGCGGAATGAGAGCGCGGCCGCCGCTCACTGCGGAGAGATGCGGTGCGTGATGCCACTAATTGTGATTGGTCACGGATGTGGGGCTTGAGCGGTGCCTCAGCCACGCGAGCCGCTCCCCCCCCGTTTATATAAGGCTCCTTTTATAAAAGGACCCGATTGACAGCTGATTTATGAATTCTAGAAGATATTAGGGGGATGCCAGGTTTATTTTTACCTTTTCACTCTCTGCTTTGCATACGCTGAAAACCACATGACAGCGTAAAAAAAAAATAGATTCTGTGTTTATTAGTTAGAAAGCTTCCAGCAATTTATATTTGAATTTGCCTACTTTGTGCTGCTCTTTGTTCTGAGAACATCTGTGATGTAAAACTGCCATGTCTTTTCTGCGAGCAGGGCTGAATCTCCCCCAATATGTTTATATGCAAGTCAACATTTGGCTCTTGTCTAAAAGGAATTATATTCAGGAGAAGCTGACGTCCCCTTGGATTATCAGGATTCACGTGCATCATCCATACCACTAACATAGGGTGCTAATCCAGTTCTGATCATGAACCAAACCCCAGCAGTTTTCACGATCCATCACTGATACTACATGTAGTGCATGTATAGTAATGTCATTTGATAAAGGTAATTTACTTGAAATGCTTGTTCTTAAAAAAAAAAAAAAAAAGAAAAAAACTTCTCTTCTGTGTTCTACATTAATATTTCTGGGGGCTTCACAGGTTTTTGTAATTCAATCGTTCAGGATATTCTTGACCTTCACTTTGGAGGGGTGGGGAATTGTTATTTGTTTTCACTTTTTTGTTTCATAATCTATTTCTGGCTCTGTTCTATCAGTATAAACAGTGTTCACCACCAGCTAATGAGGAGGAGGAGAAGTGTAGCAGGCTGTCATTATTAGTTAGAACTGCAGCTTTAATAAACTTTAGAAATTAGATGTACAGCTCCAAATAATATTTTTAAACTAGTTTGCTAAAGCAAGTATTTTTAAAATATCTCAGTATAAAATATTCTGTTGGTGCTTATCCATCTCATAAGTGTAGGGTTTTTTTTAAATTTAAAATATATTTTTGAAAAGCCTAATAACATACTAAAAGCATGGTTCATATATAGCACATGTATTAAAATGGCAGCTTGGGTCAAATTTTGGTGGGAGTCTAAATTTTTAAGTTGTGAATACAATTATAAAATGCAACTGTGCAACTTCACTCTTTTGTTTTATATATACTTTTTTTCTCAGATAATCACTCTGTTTTTTATTTCAGGTAACAACATGCTTTTGTTTTTAATGGTTATAACATGATCTAGCTTCCTTCACGTTCTCTACTCTTTTACCTTCAGCAAATACCTAAATAAAGATTGCAGCAACTTGTTCAAACATCGTAGTGTGGCCATTTGGTACCTCGCGAGTCTGAAGAGCAGCTGGGCAAAATCTTTGAACCTCTTCTGGTTCCTCTGCTTCTCAAGAGCTTGATACCAGTTCTACCAACATAGCTCCAAAGGACAACATGAAAAAGAGGTTTCCTCGAGGGAAGGCAGATAGGCTAGTGCATTTARGAGATTTACTTGCCTCACTTGCAGTGTTACTAAGGATAGGTAGAGAAGCCTCTCTCAATTTAAACAGATGAATCTCCATCTCCCTTTCCAATACTCTGAGAATGGCTGAGCAAAGATGGGACACTGGATGGGCTCTAATGTTAGAAAAAGGTGGACATAGGGAGAGAGGTGCATGAGGCTTTTGAAATAGTTTGGTTATGTGGTGTCAAAGGAGGGGGAGAAAGTACAAATGATCTATATTCCAGGAGGCAAAGCAAAAGACTGGCTCTGCAAAGAGAGCTTCAGCAGAATGATCTGAGTGCAGTTTTGTTCATATCAAGCTTAAGCTTTCTGGAGGGGCACCCGGGAGGAGAAGCAGCACCAGATGGAGGCAACAAGGAGTAGGTGGATGGATAGACACGCTCACAAGCCATTGCTGGGCAGATGCTGGCTGAGATGGTGAGAACACATGACATCATCCTCAAAGGGTAGCTGGGGAAGAGTGGGCAAGAAGAGCCATGTGCAGACACCCGACAGAGAAAGAAAAATGTGCTGTTCCTTTTACCTGTTCCTGTAGAATGGAAGGGAAGGAAATCATCTGCTTGGTATTTTAGGGTGTAAAAAAACAAGGCATGATCAGAGGGTACAAATGTAGAGAAGCAGCAGGAGTCTGGAGGAGGTTGGTGAGGAGGCTTTGGACTGAGAGGGGCAGCATGAGGTGGAGAGGGAGGACCCAGGAGGTGACAGAGGCCTAGGAAGGGCTTCCCTTGCTGTGTGTGGGGTAGGGAGGCAAGAAGTGAAGAGCAGGAGCGTGGAGCAAGGGGGAAGAGGAGGGAGCAAAGCTGTGGGCATGCGACCATAGGTGGCCTGCCCTGGCGCAGAGGCATCTGCAACTGCTGTAGAGCTCTGCGGTACTTAAAATTGGATTCAGGAAGCACTGCAGTCACCCTGCATGTGTATATTTTATTCTTCTGCTTTGCCGAAAGCAAAAAGTTGCCAAGTAACATACTTGTTGTCTTCTTCCATCTTTTCTGCTGTCTAACTTGCTACACAGCAGAAGTAATGCCCTAAAATCCACTGTTAGTGTGTTGAGAAGTGCTGTCATCTGTCAGTTGTGCTGTGGAGGCGTCAGCCCTGCTGGTGGTTGGTAGCATCACCCCTCACCCGGCTTGTTGCCGTGCAGAGCTTGGTTTGTCTTTTTAAGAGATCCCTTAGGCTCACCAAGTCAAACAGTCATCAAGTAACAGTCATAGTAGGGCTSAAGAAGTGATTAATTCTAATGTTTTCCATTAGTGCTCTTAATTTTTGCATCTTTAACATCCTTTTAGCATAGCATGGGTTGAACTTTACATAAACCTGTCATGAACTGTCTGACTTTCAGATGACATGGAATAGACACTTTCTTGAAAGCATTTACTTTGGGAAGCTGTATCCACTTCCTTTCTTCTCTTTCTTCTTTTGTTTTTCCCCTCCAGTTTTTCTCTAAGTTCTTTAGCAACATTTGCCGTTGCTTTTCCTGGACTGTGCATTTTGGTTCCTATTTTGAATATTGTAGCTCATTTGGTGTCTGGGTRGAATTGTAGTGACTGCAGATCTTTATCTCGTCTGTTCTCGTTTGTACTGGAGACTTGGGCTCTTGAATATCACTTTTTTTTTTTCAGTGAAGCTTAATTTCTTCAGTGCTTAAGTCACTTTTGAAGATGAATATTGGGTGCTTTGGGAATTCTCACCCTGAAATTGTTCTTATTTATACTGTGCAGCTGAAAAATTTGAGCTGCGAAGACCCTGAGGCTGATTCAGGTCAGCCATTCAGGTGCGCTCTAGTAGTTAGTGATCCGTATCTCAAACTTCCTACCAAGCTGCTGCTTAGTTTCCTCAACAGTCTGTTGCAGACAATATTTAAAAAATGTTGGAAAACCAACGACTTTTACCGTATTAGTGAGAACTGAGCAGTGGCTAATAGCAGTTTAGGTTCAGAATTTCTACTGCCATAACCTTAGAGTGAGTTTTTGTCAAGGTGCTCTGTTTTCCCTCGTGCTCATCCCACTGCAGCATGCTTTTCTTGTAAGGTCTGACTCTGACCATT